CATTTGAAAACACAATGCACAACATTCCTGTACATTTGAAGATACACTGCACGACATTCCTGTTCATTTGTAGCCACAATGCATGACATTCCTGTACATTTCAAGACACAATGCATGACATTCCTGCACATTTGAAGACACATTGCATGACATTCATGAACATTTGAAGACACAATGCATGACATTCCTGTACATTTGAAGATACAATGCATGACATTCCTGTACATTTGAAAACACAATGCACAACATTCCTGTACATTTGAAGACACAATGCACAACATTCCTGTACATTTGAAGACACAATGCATGACATTCCTGTACATTTGAAGATACACTGCACGACATTCCTGTACATTTGAAGCCACAATGCATGACATTCCTGTACATTTCAAGACACACTGCATGACATTCCTGCACATTTGAAGACACAATGCATAACATTCATGTACATTTGAAAACACAATGCACGACATTCCTGTATATTTGAAAACACAATGCATGACATTCCTGTATATTTGAAAATCAATGTATGACATTCCTGCACATTTGAAGACACAATGCATGACATTCATGAACATTTGAAGACACAATGCATGACATTCCTGTACATTTGAAAACACAATGCACGACATTCCTTTACATTTGAAAACACAATGCATGACATTCCTGCACCTTTGAAAACACAATGCACGACATTCCTGTACATTTGAAAACACAATGCATGACATTCTTGTACATTTAAAGACACAATGCAAGACATTCATGTAAATTTGAAATAACGATGCATGACATTTCTGCACATTTGAAGACACAATGCATGACATTCCTGTACAATTGAAAACACAATGCATGACATTCCTTTACATTTGAAAACACAATGCATGACATTCATGTACATTTGAAGACACAATGCAAGACATTCCTGTACATTTTAAAACGCAATGCATGACATTTCTGCACATTTGAAGACACAATGCATGACATTCCTGTACATTTGAAAACACAATGCACGACACTCCTTTACATTTGAAAACACAATGCATGACATTCCTGTACATTTGAAAACACAATGCATGACACTCCTTTACATTTGAAAACACAATGCACGACATTCCTGTACATTAAAAAACACAATGCATGACATTCCTGTACATTCGAAGACACAATGCATGACAATCCTGTATATCTGAAGGCACACTGATGACATTACATTTCTAACATACAGTTTGTATCAAATACAACCACTTCTGAAACAAAAACAGCATGTCAAATATGCAAGTAGATATAATTTTATTGTAATTTATTACATATCAAAAATCATATCAAATCAAGTTACTCAAAATTAAAAGATTCATAACAGTGTTGCATGGAATTTCAACAAACATCAATAGAATGGTTATTGTCTTCAGCCTCTAGGTATTGTAAATAACATCAACAAACTATTTTTGTTAAAAAAAATAATTATTTTTTCAAATTGTTTGATTTAATATAAAAAATTAAATTAAGTTTAATGTAGATTCAACTGAAATATTATGAGTAAAGTACATATTTTTGACATGCATCGCCCCCGATCTCTGCAACATAGAACGCTCCTGTCTTCTGATTGACAGCCACTAAATGAGGTCGAAGGTCAGGAGCAAGCTGAATTTGATCAATTATTTTGCATTTGCCAGGATCTCCAGTTTTCTTGGGCGTGGCAATAAAGATGATACGACTAGACAATAGTTCTAATACAATGAAGTGAGATTTGTCAGCACTCAACCTGTTAACAAAATAAAAAATTACATTTCTAAAAACATTGGTACAAATGTCAAGTCATAATAGAAACATGTTTTTTATATGAAATTGCAAGGTAAAACATACATACAATACATTTTGCATTTTAAAAAGTCACATGGTGTATATTTATGATAACAGCAAGCAAACAGACCATGCAAGTTCAAGAACTATACAGAGTTAGAACATGAATGGTCAGAGGATGTCAGAAATATGGTTCCAGAACTGCATTCATTTAAAACAAAATGGTCACCAGTGAAACATACTAGATCTAATCAGATAAACAAAATGATGTCTTATAATTTCAAATGTATGTACCAAGTCTGAATGAAATTTATCTATACAATACATGAGATACCATTCCAACAAGGCAAAAATGCTTGATTTTGATGAATTTTCTGCACACATTTAGTCATTCAGCCATCTTGAATGAGATTGAAAAAAATGAATATGCATGCATATCCAAAAATCCATGATGTATGTGTAAAATTTAATGTGATTAGTGGAGGAATGTGGAGACGCACATATGGATGTAACACCATAATTTAACTTTAACCACAGTAAATAACACTCACCTGATTGCATATGGTGGCGCATTATTAAAACAGTCTTTCCATTCTCCGATATATTTGCCATCTTCTGGGTCAAATACTTGGGTTCTGTTGTTTTTTCTGTCGGCAACCCAAACCTGACCATGTTGATCTAATTCAATACTATGTGGAATGTTAAATTCTCCCTGACCACTACCACTGCCACCACCTACATGCCACACAAGGTTGAAATCTATATATCAAAACAAATGAACATTGTTGGTGCTCATGGAAATAAAAAAATAGGCAAAATATACTGTAAAATATACTAAAATACTGAAATTAATTTTTGCTGAAAAGTCATTTTGGCTGCTTTGTATTGAGTTGGATGTAAAATGTAAAAGAAAGATATTTATGATGGATCCTATTTTCACTGATTCATTCTTTAAGCAAAAATTTATCTAAGTGAAAATGTTATAGCATGTTGGTACTGTAAACTGCTTTAATCTAATGAGACTAATTTTCTTAAATTTCCCAAGTCACTGATAACCACTAATTTTCTCAATTTGATGATTTCCTGGCATTCAACAATGAAAAGTTTGCCATGAAATTTAGTGGTTTGACAAGTGAAATTCTCACTCCAAAATACAGTGGCTTACAATACCTACATAAAATTTGAATGAGAATGCTCTCTGATCGGCTAACCAATGGTATTGGTATTTTATAAAGCTGAGAGGGCTTTCAAAGATAATAAAAAACTAGAAAACATCTTTTATGTAGTCATAATTGAAACATGATTTGTATGTGAAAATTGCAAGTGTAAAACATACATACAATACATTTTGCATTTTAAAATGTCACATGGTGTATATTTATGATAACAGCAAGCAAACAGCTGAAAATTTGGATGACAATGCAAGTTCAAGAATTATACAAAGTTAGAACATCGATGGTATTGGATTTGATAAAGCTGAGAGGGCATCCAAAGATAATAAACAAGCAGCCTGTCGGCTAAGATAGCTTTGCTGTTAGCAATGCACATTACAATTAAAGAACAGAAGATATCATTAGAAAATGAGCAATATGTATAGTATCAAAGCAATCAGACTTGCTGTTTTCAACAAGGATTCAAAAATATCACTCTCACCAAAAATGGCAAAAATATTCATTAAAATTAGAGAATTGAAGACATCAGCATGAAATGAACAAAATTACAAAAATATTCACCAAAATAAGAGAATTAAAAATATCCTCACAAAATGAACAAATCTGAGAGATGTAGTACCTATATATGTAATATCAAAGCAATAAGATCTGCCGTTGTTAACAAGTCGAAAATATCACTTTTTACCAAAAATGATAAAAATATTCATCAAAATTAGAGAATTGAAGATATCATCAAGAAATTAGGCGAGGGTTCTCCGAACCCGCCTATTCACATAGTTCATACCCACCATAGATTCCGGTCAGTCAAAATGACTATTTTGAACTGTAGGCATTAATCAGCGATTCTGCCGGTGATGGAGAGATAGAATCTAGGTCAGGGGAAGCCCCATGACCCCAAGATTCTTTTACCCCTTACGTCACGAACCCACGTGACCGAGGCCACATGGCAGTGCCATAGGTAGCCGTCCATCACTCTGGTTCCTTTCTCTCCGCCTCGAACACTTAGACCAACACGACGGAAAGAGTGGGGAGGGACCCGGA